GCGATTTTCATGCCTTAGCCTCTCGAGTAGCTGGGACTACAGGCAGGTGCTTCCGGGTCAGGCTAATTTTTATATTTTTAGCAGAGACGGGGTTTGGTCATGTTGGCCAAGCTGGTCTCGAACTCCTAGCTGAAGTCATCTGCCTGCCTCGGCGTTCCAAAGTGCTGGGATTACAGACGTGAGCCACCGTGCCCGGCCAGAAATTAACTTCTAATGCATGAACAATAAAGGGGTGAGGGTTGGGCCCAAAAAATGATCCAAGTGCAGGGGCTGGCAAACTAGAACTTGATGGCCAAAACCAGCCCACTGCTTATTTCTGCAAATGAATCTTATTGGAACATAGCCACACCCATTCATTTACATGTTAGTTATGGCTGCTTTTGTGCTAATTACTTGATTGGCATAAAATTATTTAATTACTTGTAATTACTAAAAGCCTAAAATATTTATTATCTGGCCCTTTATAAAAATCACTTACCTACTGTTATTCTAGAGAATAAGAATGATAAACAATTTCCCATACATGCAAATGGGGCAAGGACATAGCAAACAATAAGTTCATTCAGTGACTGGATAACTGTGTGTACCTCTTCCACTTTGAAGAGTAATTCCCACTTTCGGTAACAGCTGCTAACCACTGTTACACATGCCTGCCCAGGGGCAGATGAGCAGTCTTTTGGCAGAGGGTGGGAAAGCGCCAGCGATGTCCGTGTTATCTAACCTACCTTATCTTCCAAAGCAGCCATTCTCTCTTTAAGATGAAGTTGAAGCCTCTCATTAGATTCTGAAAGTAGCTTGTCAACAGTGTCTGATAAACGTTTATTATGTTCTTCGTTCATTTTTTCTCTTTGCCTTGCCTAAAGCAGGAGAAACAAAGACTTATAAACCTCATGTAAATGCTCAACCATTATTTTAAAAGCACAAGGACCAACAGGGTGAGCCCCATGCGTGCCCTCCCCTCCCCGGTTGCTTCCCGCACTGCCGTCTTGAGTGGATTTTTGCATGGTGACCAGAACCAACTCATGGACACGGGGAACACAGGACAAGTCTTGGAGAGATCATTAACTAGAAGGTCCCACTGCTCCCGCGACAGGACTCCTCAGGAATGTCCCTAGTTGTTAACTGTCAGAGGGACTTAAGGAGCAGATTTATAGCAGATATTTAGAGGAGCAGCCTGTCTCCACGCTGGGATTGGAATTTCCCCTTGTGTCACTAAAAGCTTGCGTCTGGATCTGGGGAGGAAGGGTGAATTTAATTTCCAAAGCTAAAAAGTTTGTTTTGGAAAAAAAAATTAGTAGCACTAGAGAGACTTTCATATTTTGTCTTTATACCTCTATGTTGCTTAAATTTCTTGTAATGGAAATTTATATTCAAAAATTATAAATAATTACCTTAAGTAATTTTAATACGTAGTAACAAAACTGACATGTCTGTTATTTTATAAAACCATAATTAAGTTCATGGTTTAAAACCTGTTTCTCGGCCGGGCGCGGTGGCTCAAGCCTGTAATCCCAGCACTTTGGGAGGCCGAGACGGGCGGATCACGAGGTCAGGAGATCGAGACCATCCTGGCTAACACGGTGAAACCCCGTCTCTACTAAAAAAAATACAAAAAACTAGCGGGGCGAGGTGGTGGGCGCCTGTAGTCCCAGCTACTCGGGAGGCTGAGGCAGGAGAATGGCGTGAACCCGGGAGGCGGAGCTTGCAGTGAGCTGAGATCCGGCCACTGCACTCCAGCCTGGGCGACAGAGCGAGACTCCGTCTCAAAAAAAAAAACAAAAAACAAAAAAACAAACCTGTTTCTCAAATGACAGGCAGAAGGGGACAGGAAGTGTTAGCAGGTGGCACCTGTCCAGGTGGCACCTCCACGCCCTCATCATCCAAGTGCCCTTGCAGTGCTCGGGGGCTCCTCCCAGGCAGGGGGCAGTGGCACGGGGTTATGACGTGCACTTGAGTCATGCTGCCCAGGCAGGAGGAGAGAGCCACGAGACCGCACCATCAGTAGTGCATTCAACCCCTGTGCGCCCAGTTTCTGCACTGGGAAAACATGGGGAGTGACCTCTCCTTTTCTCACAAGGTCTAACATGTAGCAACTCTCATTACCTGGAAGGGTCCAGCACATCATGGGGCATACAGAGTATCCCATACTTCCTCTTAGGAAAGAAACAATATCCTCCTTTGTGCTTATTTTCTGTCAGCATTTAAATAATTTTTAAAGAACACAGCTTAAAGTTCACTGTTGTGTCTGTGCGCATACGTGTGCGTTTTGGAAGGGGAGGTGGGGACTGCCTAAAACGCACCCTCTCACTGGGAGTGGGAATCATTGTTTCCCGGAAGCTCATTTGACTCTCTGCAGGGCATGGCCGAGAATACAGATTTCTGGTGAAAACAAAATCTAGTAGCCTTAAATTATAAAGCGGGTTGATGTGAGAGTGCAAGAGTTCTACAATTAGATGCTGCACGCTTCCTTTCTCCACCTACTTGTTAAAGAGAAATCCGGCCCAACCCCCAGGCCTGGTACCAGCTGGCCCTGGGACTGCTCTTGCTATTACTTTTTCCTGGATGTTCCATACTGACATCCGTCCAACTCTTCCAGGAAGACAATCTTAGGATTCAATGGACAGAAGTCTCCACTGCCACACTCCTTCCTAGTGCTTTTTACCGTAGCTCAATTACGGTGTTGCCCTTGCTTAGAACTATTCATTCCAACACACCACGATGTCTGCAGTGTTTTAACCTGGGACAGAGGTCAGGCCTCTGACCTGCATTTGGGAATTCAGTGCCACATCCTAGGCAAGTGGACTAGTCATCCAGGACAATGGGCCTGCCTCTACCCACGCCAGTACCACAGGTACCTAAAACAATTCCCCTCATAGGCCACTAGACAAGCAAGAAGCATTTTTGGACGTGGGGATCTAATCTACCCCCTGAAGCACTGCCTATGATCTCAAATTTCTTCTGCGGCTCCCAACACTGACTGAAAACTGCTACTGTGTGGGATGTACACATTAGCAGGCGACTCACAGATGAGGGCACAAAACAAATGCACGTGACCAGAACTGAGCTGGAGGACCAACATCTCAGTCAGGGGTGGGAGGCCCCGAGCTCCCCACAGCCCGAGCAATGCCCTTGCAGCACCCACTCAGCGCCCCCGCCCTCAGGGCTGCATGCTCACCCGCTGCAGTTCTTGATTCTTCTCCTCCAACTGTGCTTCCATCTGCCGTAACCTTTCTTCAATGTTGCCGTGTCTCTCTTCAGCCTGTCAGCAGAAATAGCATCAGCTTACCTCATCCTTCCACTTCATTAACAACATGCTGCATACTACTGCAGTGGCAACAGGCAGGACATGCTCTGCGTGGACTCCTCCGCCATACTAAACGGAAAGCATTTACTCATCCATCAACACAGCTTACGGGGCTTCACGTGCTGGGCTGGGAGGTGGCTAGCCCTCTTGTGTTGGTGATTCTGAAGCATGGCTGCTGCTGGTGACTGACTGGGTGTTTCCCCCCAACCCCTATGCCCAATCTCAACGGAGTTGTGATTCCCCCATCCTTAGACTGCTTCTGGTCAGTCAGCATGGAAAGCAGAAAGCAGCAGCAAGCACAAGCAAGGAGCAGTGCACCCATTCTACCTTCCTAAGCTTGGAAGTAAGTTCCAACAGTTTAGCTTCCTTAGCAGCAGAGCTCCCAGAAGACAAAAGGTCAGACTACACAGCCGACAAGGGACAGGAAAGATAACAGGGGAGAAAAGAAATTGAGACTTTAAAAGCAGATCATGGAGTGGGAGGAAAGGTTCTCTTAAGCTGTTAGCAACAAACTTGCTAGAAGGAACAGGTCTGTAGGCCCTAAAACCATCTGAATGGTCCAGAAGGATGCCCTCCCCAGCAGCTTGAAAAGCTTGAGCCAGGAGACTCAGGACGACGGACAGCGGCCTCGGCTCCTGCTGCTCGCCTGCCTGGCACTGCAGTGCTGGGCTCCCCATGCCCCAGAGGCTGGGTGTTTGCCCAGTGATGTGCTCCCTGGATTCTCGCTGGTCCCAGGACCTATGACAGCATTTACCTCTTTAGCTGCTTCCCTCATGAATGGTGAGAACTTGGAGGGACTGTGCCTTGCACATGCCTAGTCAACAGTTGTTGGACAAATGAATAAATATTACTTAAAAACACATTTTTAAGTAATTTCAAAATAATAAAATTACTTAAAAATGTGTTTATTAAGAATGTATCTTGATGGTGTTTTTAAAAGAATGGCATCTTCAGATGTGTATAAGAGACAGGCTTAGAACTATTCATTCCAACACACCACGATGTCTGCAGTGTTTTAACCTGGGACAGAGGTCAGGCCTCTGACCTGCATTTGGGAATTCAGTGCCACATCCTAGGCAAGTGGACTAGTCATCCAGGACAATGGGCCTGCCTCTACCCACGCCAGTACCACAGGTACCTAGAACAATTCCCCTCATAGGCCACTAGACAAGCAAGAAGCATTTTTGGACGTGGGGATCTAATCTACCCCCTGAAGCACTGCCTATGATCTCAAATTTCTTCTGCGGCTCCCAACACTGACTGAAAACTGCTACTGTGTGGGATGTACACATTAGCAGGCGACTCACAGATGAGGGCACAAAACAAATGCACGTGACCAGAACTGAGTTGGAGGACCAACATCTCAGTCAGGGGTGGGAGGCCCCGAGCTCCCCACAGCCCGAGCAATGCCCTTGCAGCACCCACTCAGCGCCCCCGCCCTCAGGGCTGCATGCTCACCCGCTGCAGTTCTTGATTCTTCTCCTCCAACTGTGCTTCCATCTGCCGTAACCTTTCTTCAATGTTGCCGTGTCTCTCTTCAGCCTGTCAGCAGAAATAGCATCAGCTTACCTCATCCTTCCACTTCATTAACAACATGCTGCATACTACTGCAGTGGCAACAGGCAGGACATGCTCTGCGTGGACTCCTCCGCCATACTAAACGGAAAGCATTTACTCATCCATCAACACAGCTTACGGGGCTTCACGTGCTGGGCTGGGAGGTGGCTAGCCCTCTTGTGTTGGTGATTCTGAAGCATGGCTGCTGCTGGTGACTGACTGGGTGTTTCCCCCCAACCCCTATGCCCAATCTCAACGGAGTTGTGATTCCCCCATCCTTAGACTGCTTCTGGTCAGTCAGCATGGAAAGCAGAAAGCAGCAGCAAGCACAAGCAAGGAGCAGTGCACCCATTCTACCTTCCTAAGCTTGGAAGTAAGTTCCAACAGTTTAGCTTCCTTAGCAGCAGAGCTCCCAGAAGACAAAAGGTCAGACTACACAGCCGACAAGGGACAGGAAAGATAACAGGGGAGAAAAGAAATTGAGACTTTAAAAGCAGATCATGGAGTGGGAGGAAAGGTTCTCTTAAGCTGTTAGCAACAAACTTGCTAGAAGGAACAGGTCTGTAGGCCCTAAAACCATCTGAATGGTCCAGAAGGATGCCCTCCCCAGCAGCTTGAAAAGCTTGAGCCAGGAGACTCAGGACGACGGACAGTGGCCTCGGCTCCTGCTGCTCGCCTGCCTGGCACTGCAGTGCTGGGCTCCCCATGCCCCAGAGGCTGGGTGTTTGCCCAGTGATGTGCTCCCTGGATTCTCGCTGGTCCCAGGACCTATGACAGCATTTACCTCTTTAGCTGCTTCCCTCATGAATGGTGAGAACTTGGAGGGACTGTGCCTTGCACATGCCTAGTCAACAGTTGTTGGACAAATGAATAAATATTACTTAAAAACACATTTTTAAGTAATTTCAAAATAATAAAATTACTTAAAAATGTGTTTATTAAGAATGTATCTTGATGGTGTTTTTAAAAGAATGGCATCTTCCTATTTCTGAGAAAAACTACCTTCTTTTACAGAGGCTTCTATCCTATGCTTAAGCTGGTGACCAAAACAATTTTACAAAGCAGTAACTCTCAGATCACACATGCTGTGGACAAATAGTATACAGCTCACAACACCAAGGGAGACTTCAGGATAAAAGGATCATGTCTGGCATTTACGAAGTGTTCCAATCTCAGATGAAAGAGCATTCAAACCAAATCTGTGCTCTTCCATGGATTTAGGTGCTGATGTAATAAGAACAGTGATAAACAAGGTACACAGGCAAGGCACAGTCACAGGCCTGGCAGCCAAACCAGAACAAAGCTCATGGCACTACCTTGGAAAGCGCTGCCACCCTCTGGGCCAGCTCCGCCTCCACCTCAGGGAGCGTCTCTGCCTTCCTCAGTGTCTGCTGCAGCTTTTGCTCTGCCAATTCCAAGCGCTCCTGTAACTGGCGGTTTTTATCTTCAGTCTATAAAATGAGAGCAAAGCATCAAAATGCAGCAAATCTTCTAGCTGTATCAGTTTTTAACAGATTGAAATAAACTGAAATGCAGATACAGACTAAGAGAGTCATGATGGAACAGCTACAGTGATGGGGGTTGCTTCTGGGTCAGGTTTGTGTGTGTGTGTGTGTGTGTGT